GCTATATATATATATATAACTATATATAGATACATCTAGATATATATCTATATGTATCTATTCACTAGTCTAATATATATCTAATATATATATCTGTATCTATAAGACTGGTGAATAGAACAGGGCCACACACTTGATTTTGGGTGCATTTGGGGCTGATAGAAGAAACTTGCCTCCCAAAATTATGAAGAAATATTCATATATATATACATATATATATTCATATATATGTATATATATATGTAAAAAAAGGGTAGACACAATGAAACACAATGAAAGGATGGAATATGACTGTAATGATGAAAATTTTAAAAGATTCTAAAAAAGAAATTGATAAGAAGTTGGTTGAGGGCACCTGGTGGCTCAGTGGGTTGAGCCCTTGCCTTTGGCTCAGGTCATGGTCTCAGGGTCCTGGGATCGAGTCCCACATTGGGCTCTCTGCTCAGGAGGGAGCCTGCTTCCCCCCTTGCTCTCTGACTGTCTCTCTGACTACTTGTGATCTCTCTCTGTCAAATAAATAAATAAAATCTTAAAAAAAGGAGAATTTGGTTGAAAAAAGGGGGGAAAAAAGAGAATGTAATCAGGCTGGAGACTAGCACAAAGCCATGCACTAGATAGGGTACATTTTGATCTGTTAGAAGAAACTGTATCCCAAAATTCTAAAGAAAGAAAAACCTATATGTATACAAAAAATGTATACAACAAATAACAATGAAAATTGAAAAAGATTTTTAGAAAGGTATTGATAAGATAAAGTAGTTTAAAAAATTAAAATAGGAAAGAGGAAAAAAATTTTAAATAGAATAAGAAAAAAATAAAATTAAAAAAAATTTAACTTTGAAAGACTAAGGAATGGGAAAAGAGCCATGAATTCTATGTATTGCTTTCTCCTAGCTCTGGAGTTCTGCAGTTCTTAATGATCGGTGAACTTGGTCTTGGCTGGGTGTTCTTGCTGATCTTCTGGCAGAGGGGCCTGTTGCTGAGATTCTCAAATGTCTTGGCCTGAGGCGGAATTGCACCTCCCTTGCCAGGGGCCAAGCTAAGTAATTTGCTAGGGTTTGCTCTCTGGAGCTTTTGTTCCCTGAACACTTTCCATACCACTTTGGAGGACGGGAATGAAAATGGCGGCCTCCCAATCTCCGGCCTGGAGGAGCTGAGAGCTCGGGGACCCACTCCTCAGTGCACCCTCAGAGAAAAGCAGTCAATCTCTGGTCTCCGGCCGCAATCCGTGCTCACCCAACTTGTGACCGAGCATTTCTATCTCTGGTGCATGGCCCCGTTTGGAGTCTTCAAACCCAGCAAATTCTTGCTGCCCTCTACCACTCCTGGAGGAGGAACGTGAGTCTCCCTGGATCTGCCACTTGTGGGGTCCCTGCTCAAAAAATAGTGGTCCAACTGTCTCCCAGATCACAGTTTAAGGTAACCCTGAGCTGAAAGCCCACTACTCAGGTCCATCTCTGCATCCGGTTTCCCTGCTCCAATACCTGAGAGCTCTGCTGCACTCAGACACCTCCGGTCTTTCTGTGACCCTGAGGGACTGAGACCATACTGTCCCCGTGAGGGCTCCATCCCTCCTTAGCCTCTGGAGTGACGTCCCTCAGTATAGCAGACTTTTAAAAGTTCCAATTTTGTGCTCTGCTGCTCTATGGTTCCCGGGAGCTGGCCCCTCCCATCCACAATCTATCATCCCATAGATCACCTCTGACTCACTTCTCTGCACATCCTATTTTCCAGAAAGTGGTCGCTTTTCTCTTCCTAGAACTGTTGCTCTTCTCTTCAGTCTCCTGTTGAGTTTGTAGGTGTTCAGAATGGTTTGGTAACTAGCTGAACTCCTGGGACCCAATGATATTTATGTCTCATAGTCCTCTGCCATCTTGCTCCATCCCCTTCCATGTTGACTTTAAAGTATATAACTTCCCACTGAGCATAGGACTATTTTGCTTTTATTACTTAATTACTTATGGGATGACAGGTTGTAACATAGTCTCTCGGGGGGAACCTACTGCTTTTCCCCACTAGCCCCTGAACCAAGAAAAAAAGGAATGGAGAAAGGGATGGTGAAAAATGTCCTCCGATTGCTGCCATATGAATGACCACCATCATTCTGAACAATTCTGGTATTTTATGCACCAGTTGTTGATTTACGAGTAGACATATGCTAAGAAGGGAACAAGGCTTGGATTGTCCAATTCTGTAGCTAAGCACCAAGATATGGGGTAAGAACACCACAGTTAAGCCATTGCATTCCATAATTTTAAGCCTCGCTTTGATGGTGAAACCCAAATCAATTATACAACAGGTGGAACATATCAGGTCACTCCTTCCTACTTATCAGAGAGATGTATCCTTACTTCTAGAAGAGTAATCTCCCTTTTCAGGCTTGGGGATGGCATGGATAGGTTAAATGGAAATTCATATTAAAGCTTAAATTTTGAGATTAACCAAATTAACAAGTTTAGTAAAAAGAGGTTGGTGAGGGGGTGACTCATCTCACCAAAAAACATTTTTTTTTTGGCCTTATTGTTAGATTTTATTTGATATGATTTTCACTAGTTGATTTTGGAGCTATTGTGTTGACTTTGTGCTTCTCAGATGGGGCAGCCAGGGCAATGAATTTAGGCTACCAATCATATGCATTCTAAACAACAAATAGAATAAATTTTAAGTAGATTGTAAGTTTTTTGGAAATGAGAGCGCCGAATCCTAACGACTAGACCACCAGGGAAGTTAGTTTTTTGGAAATGAGATTAATTCTTTGGCTTCATTGCTTATCAGTATAGGAAACAACCTTAATCAGTTGAATTCCCCTGGCTGCCTTCCATGCCTTTATCTTCTGTATTGTCTTTCCTGGGTGTTGCTTATAATCACAGAAAAAAAAAATTAACTTCAGTAGTGAAATAACTTTCAATTCAATTCCATTTTATTTTTTACTTTTATGTAAATACATTAGATGTAAAAGGTCTTTAAAAGATTGTTTTAAAGTCCATCTACCTACTTCTAAGTTTTCCTTTAAAAAAAAATCTGTAGTAGTACTGATAAATAGGGATCAAGTAAATGAAAACTGTGCAGAACAGAGATTTCATTATTTTTTTTAAGTCTAGTGAAGTCTGAAACTTTTCAAAACACCTATATAATCCCTTCAACACCTGGCTTGGCAGAACTCTAATTCTGTTTGAAAAAGTGCTTTTTTAAAAATGATGTCTTTGGAACATGCATAAGTGTGTGGGACAGAAAGAATCCGTATCTGAGTATCTTCATAAAGTAGTTCTTTAAATTTGCAAAGCTAGTTACCACTGACTTACGCTGCCCCTTAAACAACCCCTCTCCTTTCAGCATGCTAGAAAGCGAAGAGAATGGAAATGAGCATGAAGGAATGAAAGAGTAAAGATAATGAAGGTAGGTCAGTGAGGGACTTTTTAATCCCTCTACGCTTTTCCTCTAATATTTTGGGAAACTTCTCAGCAGCTCACTTCTATAAGGAAAATATCCTGCTGGGAGAAGCAAAGAATCAGAAATAGAAGGATGTAAGGAGAATACAAGAAGATGGCTGGGGCAGAGATTGTGGGGGAAAGAAGCCAAGAGAGGAAAATCTATAATTGGATAAAACCAAGTCTCTGCTAGATGGGTCTTCTTTCTATAAGGCTGTTAGAATTAAATGCTATATATATAGAGGACTGAAATGATGTGCAGCAAGATGATTGAGTCCTTTTATCATTGACTAGGTTTGTTCCCTTTAAGATTTTGGTGAGGAAATCTTACAAGGTAAATTTACTTCTTTACTTACACATCTGAAAGCCATAAGCCACCCGGGTTCAAATTTACTTGATCTGTATTCAAGGTTTTATGTGGAATGCCAGGTTATTCATTTAACTGACCCTTTTCCAATTAGCCTTACTTAGTTTAGCCTCAATCTTGAATATTATCTGGAGGCTCACAATCCTGGTAGTCAACTAGGAAGTGTTGGGGGAATTCCATTTAAGGCTAATCCAGAGTCTCCAATTACTTCTGGATTGAGGGCAACCTTGGTTAAGGTCAGGGTACCAGACCTTTATACCCTGTAAGCAAGAATTGGATTTAATCCTCTCTTCACAAATGGAAGTAACCCGAGCAGTCAAACCAGGTCATCTGAAACAGTTTAAACGAGATGGTCACCTGAACACCAAAGAAGCATTTGTCAGTATCCACCTTCAAAGCGGTTTACGGCCAAGCCACAGTCACTAATGAAATGGGCCGGATTTGCCTGTGGAACATTATCCTGCATGTTTAGCTGGCAGGGACAGGAAGATGGCAATGAAGTGCAGCAAATGCCGAACACGGGCCCATAAAGGAAGGTGTGCGCTGAAGTGTGTCACTGGAAAAGGCAGAGGTGGCAATGATACCCTTATAATAACATACACACACATTTGAGTAGGTGGAATTGTTAATGTAAGAAAAATTAGAGGAAATTCATATAGTTTGTAATGGGCCCAAAGTATTGGAATAGAGAGAAGGATACACCGAGACAACAGTATACACAGACACACATGCTCACATGAATACATTATTTTTCCATTTAGTTTCTACATCTTCCTCTCCTGACTCCACAAAGGCACACAGGTTACAGGGTTCTAGAAGATTCCAGTTATAGAATTCTATGCTACTCGGAAAATATATGGCTAACAAGACAGCATCCCTGTTTTCTCCTACGTGGTTTATGCATTCATCAACAGTGAAATCTTTAGAAGCAAGTGGATATCAGATACAAATGATCATAACAAGAAACGATGCAGGAGACTTGTACAAACTTGATTCTAAACCTAATCCTAACTGATGAGATGGTGGCTCTCATCACCTCCATATACACCCTCACACATCCAAAAGAGTCCAGTTTAGCTGGTCATAGAGCTAACATGGTGATATGTCCAGGAGATTTCCCAGAAACAAGTACTTGGAGGCCATAAGAGTCTGGGCACCATAGTCTTTTGGGACAGTCTCTCCATGAAGAAGGCCTTTCTATTGTCAGGTGTAGCTGGAAACTCGTTCACTGAGAGGGGAGAAGGCGAGGCATGACTTGTCAGAATCAGAGGAAGAAGTTGTTGGGAAGCCATTTTCCTCTCACTGAAGCATGTTATATGGCATTCAAGTGGATGTCTCCATAGGGAATTTCTGTTGCTGTTTCTGGAGTGATACCTTTAATAATACGCTGTTGGGAAGAAAATACAATGTTAAAAACATTCCCTAAAACTTAATAGTATTGCAAAAATATTTCAACATTAATATGAAAACATTTAAATAGCATTTTAATGGCATTTACTAGTAAATGGGAATAGTCTCATTGACTTTCCTTAAGAAAGGCATTCCCAATTTATTTGTTCCCAACTATAGATAAAAATGATACATTCAGGGAGCCCCTGGCTGGCTCAGTTGGAAGCTGTGACTCTTAATCTCAGGGTCAGGAGTTTGAGCCCCATGTTGGGTGTAGAGATCACTTAAATAAATACAACTTTAAAAATGACATATTCAGAAAGTATAAGCATCTGTCAACTAATTATAAAAATCATTGTAATATTAATGGGAGAAAATGATGAACTTTCAGTAGAACCTCCACTGGGGTATAACATGCTTTCAAGGACCTGGGAAAGCAAATCTTTTTCTCTGGACCAAGGAGGCTTCCTGTGGCCACACACGGCTCAGGGAGCAGAGAGAATGCTGGACTCTGTCCACCCCCTGCCCCCTGCACCCCTGCCCCAGCCAGGCTCCTTGCGCCCTGCACACACACCAGACGCATGATGTGAATGCAGCCACTGCAATGGCTAGGATGTCCCTGATCTCATGAATCTGCCTGTGAAGAAGTACTGGTTAGTTCATACAAAGGTACAAATTATCACAAAATTTAAAAAGATGTGATGATTTAAATCATCACTCCTAAAGCAAACTCATGTTGACATAGGGCTCATTACAGGGAAGACTTTAGGAATTTTTAGTTTGGAAACAGCTGAGATACACAGAAGCTTTAAGACGATCTGAAATACACATGGGCTTAGGTATGAAATATATAGCCCACCATGTAAAACTTAGCATCAGGGTGACATGAAGAAGGGAAAACAGCAGCAACTCAGAGGCTTAGAAAAATATGAAGCTGCTTAGTAAATTTTTTGATGGCTGAGAGTATGTACAGGAAATGGGCAAAAGTGGATCTGAAAGCATTTTTGATTTATGGATTGTAGGTGAAGCTCTGCTACTCATCCTTTATATTTTGCATTGAAAATGAAAGTCTTTTTCTTTCTTTTTTTTTTTTTTAGTATAGTTCCTATACAATATTACATTAGTTTCAGTCCTTCAATCTTTTATTCCCTGATTCTGGGAGTTTGTTCTTCTTTACGGAGCAGGGCCTATGGAATTCAAATAGTTCCATCCGCATAGTTAATGACATTAACAAAACTGTATATTTTGCGTTCCTAATCAAGTTCACATTCAAGAACTGAAGTCTCACACCAGAAATCCCCTTAAAAAGAAGTTGCTGTAGCCCTTATCAGCCCTGGATGTCTCAGTTCATTGAAAACATAATTTCACAAACCATCCCTCCCTATAGATGAGTATTTGAGTATTTAAGCTGTAACTGATTAAGCAGAATTAAGTCTTGCTAATTAGGAACTGGACGCAGATCCTTCTAACTAGTCTTGAGGGGAGCCGTGTTGTGCAGGAAGAGCAGAGAGCACTAAGATGTATGGTGGAACGGTATAATGAACAACAAATGTAGAACTTTTGGCTTTTGTGTCCTAGTCCCCAGCCACCCGTGCTGCTGCCCTTCTGGTTGCTGATCTCCCAAAATGCCAGGCCACTTTTGTTTTCCCTGTTTTGGTAGCATTCTAGTTGCCACACTACCATTGCTCTCAAAATTTGCCAGGCCATGACCTTTTGCAAGGTGACAATCTAAGAAACAGATCGCCCCTGACTATGACCTCTGGATTGTAATCAATGAAACCAAGGAACTGCAATAAAGGATGATTTAAAGGAACAAATTCAACAGTTCTGGGTCTGAGTGTGTATTTCAAGCAACACCAGGGTCCAAGGCCCTTGGGGAGGAATGAGGTTGTGATAAAACAGAAAACATAAAAAGTGCGTATTGCTTCAGACGTGACAGATCTGATGTCCATGCTCGATGGCAAGCAGAAGGCAAAGTGGTCATCTGAGAAGTTTAGAACGCTATACACAGCTCAAGCTGTGGGCTGTGGGGCATGCAAATATCAGCTCTCTCTCTCATCACTGCATTGAAGGCTCCTGGGAGTGGCAGCTGTTACAGGTCGCCCACTGGTGTAGACATATAAATATAGAAGACCGAGAGCCAACGGGTGAGTTTCACATGGGGGACTCATCTCCTCTGAACCGAGCACAACCAGAGAATCCTTTTCTCCCAAAACAACTACTAGTCGGAACACACGCACGAGCACCTACCTCTTTAAATGTCCCTGGAGTGACGATCAGCCGGTACGCTATGTATGTGGGGATGCAGACGAAAGACGAGGTCCCTATGCAGTAACCCAGGATGATACTCCACTGAGGGTAGTTATACTGGAAAAGTCGGAGCTGGGGCGGGCTCATCAAAAAACTGCAGATGATGAACTGGAACCGGAATGCCAAGAAACATTACAAATCGTAATGACATCCTTGCAGATAGGGGCAGTTCTGATACCACGGACCCCAGATGCTAAAGCTGGGATCCTTTCAGGAAATCCCCCAAATGTGCCAGATCCTCGATTGAACTCTGACGCATAGAATCCACTCACTGCTCAGCCCGAGCTGCAACCAGGAAACAGCCAGGTGCTTGTACTGATTCTCTTCTCCACCCCCCATCTCGACCCTTCAAGCGAGGATGCCAAGGCCTCAGAACGTTGTTTCTGAGGAGTTAAAGTAATCCTTTTGGGGCAAAGGGGAAAACACCGGCAACTATGAAAAGTGATTTGGGCCCTGTCTTGCCAGACAGTGGAAGAATGATCTGGGTGGCCTCTCCACAGCATCTGCCCGTCCTGGGGCCTCACAGTTCTTTAGGTTCTGTTTTCACTTCCTCCTGCATTTCCCAGCTGTAAGATGGAAGTTACCTGTGTCCAGGAGAGATACTAAGGTTCTCAAGACCTGGAGAGGCCTTGGGCTCCTGGGTATACGTGTCCCCTCTTTTCTTGAGGTCTCTGCTTTCTGCATTGAGAGCCTTAGCCTGGGGTTTCTACAGGCATGGCCCTGCCACGACGTGTCTCAGCCACGAGTGACCACCCGCCCCGGCCCTCATCATGACTGGAATCGTGGAAGGAGAAAGAAAATTCGAATGAAAATATCCCCCCCCCCCCGCCCCAAAAAAAACACCACGGTGTGTTCCCAACACTCAGCTTATAGGTTTTCTTACTTCAGTTTGGTTTCTAGAGGGAGAGCGTTAACACCAGTTTCTGCCTAGTAACCACAGGGCCGAAATCGTCACTGCTCTTAATTTTATTACTCCGTAGTCATAAAGAAAGCAGTGATGTAAACTATTTGTGTGGTTCAACAACTATTTATATCTTTCCTTCTTTGTCTGCAGGTAATAAAATGGGAAGTTGTTAAACACACATCCATCTTCCCAACAGTGTTATCCTAAATCTGGGAGAAAGCTTTCCCGACACAGACCCTTCTCAGGACTCGCCGTCCTCACCCCTGGACCCAGCTACTCAGGAGCTAGTTCTGGAACATGGCAAGGCTGCACCGTGAAGAGCCTCCCTTCTATAACTCCTCTCATCTTCACGTCAGGTATGTGAAATCCAGCCCAGTTCTGAGAGGCCTCAGGCTCCTGTGATAGCCAGTGTGTGCTACTCCAGACACACCCCATGCAGGGACGGCCCTGCCTCTCCCTGCTCATATATATTTTCTTTTTTCTGAAACTTGGCTTCAGTGAAAAAGAATAGTTTTAGTAAGCTACTCCTTGTTCACTGAAGGCAGCCTTAAAAAGCGCAGAGCCAGGGATCTGGTACAGAGACCCAAAAGTGGAAGACGGATTTGTCTCCCCTTCGCTGGGCCCTGGAGCACTTGCCTCTAGAGGAAGTGAGTAAAAGCAAACACGGCCGGGATCAGGGGTGACGGGCCTCACCCAAGTCTGTGCATGAGTTCTGCTGGGCATGGGAGCTCACTGACTGCACACCACGAGTTTGCCCAGGCTGCAAGACAGACAGAGGCTCACAAAGATGAAAGTACTATTAAGCCTGGGGCCAGGACGAGGGGGGAGCCTGTGAGGCATTCGCCTTGGGCACAATAGTTAAGTCGATTTTAGTCATCAAGGGGGAATACTTTAGTGCAATATTTTTTAAAAAGACAAGATCTGACAGGGCCAGATTAGGGTAAGGTGAGCGAGGTGAGACATGCAAGGTGAGGTCAGGCCTTGTGTTTATTTAAAATGTTGAAATCTGCTGACTGAGGACTTTCCTGCATTAATTTTGGTTTTTAAAAAGTGTTATATTAAAATGTAGTAGTTTTGAGTAGTTTTGGCACAACCCCTCACCCCCCTTCAATTTGACACCTGTGGCAGAATGCCTTACTTGCCTCTCCCAAATCCCAGCCCTGGACATCCTTTCCTTACTGGGTTGGGGTTACTGAAGTAGAGAGACAGAGCTTCTTCCCTCAAGGAACTCAAAGGAACTCTCCTCTTTCTTTGAAAACCAAATGAAAGGATTTAAGTAGATTATCAAGAAGCACAGGTAATCACATAAATTACTGATCCATCTATGTGAGAACTGAGTCTAGTGATGGCAGGCTAGGCAGTTCATGCCAACCCTCTCACGGAAAACAACTACATCTTCTGGATTTAAAAAAAGACATGTTTTTAAAACAGATGAACATAGGGGAAGGGGAAAAAGAGCAAGGGAAGGCAAACCATAAAAGACTCCTCAGGATAGAGAACAAACAGGGTGGATGGAGGGAAGGGGGTGAGAGGTGGGCTGCCTGGGTGATGGGGATTAAGGAGGGAGCTTGTGGTGATGAGCACCGGGTGTTACAGGCAAGTGATGAATCACTAACTTTACATTACACGGTTAACTAACTCGAATTTTAAAATTTTAAAGAAAAACATACACGTATTTTTAGTCTACCAGTGAGCTGATAAGGTAATAAGAACTACCAGGCCAAGTCTAGGGGAACACTAGAGCCCAGAGCACTTCCCAGAGCCACTGGGCACTGAGAACTATCTCCTTTGGTTTTGGAAACCTGCGGGGGTCAGGGGAATGGAAGTCAAGAAGGGCTTCTGGGGTACAGACAGACTCACGCAGCATCACAGAGGCAAGAAGGAACTTACTGCTCATCTTATATGTTCATGTCCAGATGTACGGGCACAAAAAGTACCAAAGGGCCGCCCAGAGAAAGTCAGAACAGAACACACGAAGGGATTTTCCCTTGCTGTTTTAAACAAGACAGGGAAGGAACAACGACCTCTGTGTCAAAGCCAGAGATGTCCCTAAGACAAAATGTTTGGCCCAGACATTCCTAACAAGCTAGAGCTGGATGGAAGGACCCGTCCAACAAGCTTTCTGGCTCTACAAGATTAAAAAAATTCCAAGATAAAATTACAGTTAAATGAAAGAACTGGAGAGTGATCCCTGCTGATAGGCACGGAGCCACTTTACGCAGGGCTGCCTCGGAGCACAGCCGGGAGGTGAACAGGGAGCTTCGCCATCTTGGGGCAAGTGTCTCCTTCGGAGGGACACCGGGAGGTATGCAGGGCCGCCTGCTGCCCGGGGGGTGAGCACTGAAGGCAAAGAGGCAATGCTTGGAACTGAATGTTCTCACCCAGGTCCTTGGGCATTAGATGGATTCTACCTTTGACTCAGGTCCACGCTTGAGGACTTTCATGTGGGGCATCTTGAAGAAAATGAATATGAAATTACAAGGACCCCTCCTCCCAGGGCCTTCGAGAGCAGCTGAGGAAATCCTTCCCAGGTCTTGAAGAGCTCTTATACGTCACATGTGACCTGGGACCCTTCAGGCTTCAATTTCCTTAACTGTAAAATGGGGTATGAGGGCATGACCCCACTTGACAGAGACGGACTTGGACCGTACATTGGAAACATTCAAGAGGAAATTTTAACTGCAGATTGCCCGCTCACATGCCAGATCAAGGTTCTTCTAAGCTCCTTCATGGAACAGTTGTAAGGACTCACAGAGCAATGAATGGGTCTAAGTTTAGCACGAAGTCTGGTCTAGCACGTCATGTTCAATAAATGTTATTTATCATTCTCACTGAGCAGGGTTGTGATGGGCACATGCCGCAGGCACCCAAGCCCCAACTACCCTTCCATGGTGCTGGAAGTCAGAAAGCGGGGAAGCCTGGGGGACACAGGGAGGGACTTGTGACTGGGAGGGACACCGGAGGGGCTTCTCAAGGGATGGTCATGTTTTTGTTTCTTAGCATGGTTCCTGCTGCGAAAGCATGCTTGATTTATAAAGTTGCGATGAGAGGTACACTTAAGATTTACACATTCTTCTGTAACTATGTTACACTTCAGCACGATTTACTCTCTATAACAGTTGGGGTGAACCTTTCTCCGGGGCCAGGGAGAGGGAAATGGCCACTCACCAGGAGAAAGAGAGGGCTGATGGCGACCCAGCAGATCCTCCAAAACCACCCAGGGCTGAAGCCGAGCATTTCCTTCACGTCACTGCAGAACTGAGTGATGCCTAAAGTCACCCGCAAGAGAAAGAGAGATCGGCTGAGGGAGGACATGGACTCCCTCAGAGACAGTGAGCAGCTCTCAGTTTGTCATGGCGGGGGCTCAAGGGCACCAATCTGGTCTGAAAGTGGGACAGGGGACTTGTCACAAAACTGCATTTAATAGCCAGCAACGTTCTTTCTACATGGAGTGAGTGGGACAGGTGGACATTTGGGGAGGGACCCAAAGCCCCCTCTTGGTGCCCACACTGCGCTTGACTTGAGATCTCAGCACACATCTGATTTTACTGTTACTGTAGAAAAGAAAGTTACATTTTATCTAGGATCCATGACCCCACTTGACAGAGATGGACTTGGACCGTACATTGGAAACATTCAAGAGGAAATTTTAACTGCAGATTGCCCGCTCACATGCCAGATCAAGATCAAGGTTCTTCTATAAAATATATGTGCATGTGAGAACTGAGAACTCCAACTGGTGATAAACTGGAAACGGGAAGGCGGGGTGCCCTGCAGTCCATTCCCCAAGAGCCTCAGCAACAGCAAGGTCCACAACCACACCCGTACCCTGAACTCTGTCCTCAGAATCACTGAGGAGGTAGGGAGGGATTCTTTTTAAAACACTGGGCTCGTGTGCAACTCAAAATATGGGGCCTCCCCTTCTTCATGTTATGTGTAATGACAAACAGGCTAAGGCTGTTCTATTACCATAGAAACTAGGGAAATCAATACATTTTCAGAATGAAATAATCACTTCTTGATTTTAAAGATGAAGAGAGGTATCTCTGAACCTGGTTTCTCTCTCTCTCTCTCTCTCTCTCTCTCTCCTTTCTTTCTCTCTTCAAAGATTTATTTGAGTAATCTGTACATTCAATGTGGGAGTCAATCTTAGATCAAACCCCGATTTTGAATTCTCTTTCTTTCTTTCTTCAAATATTTTATTTATTTATTTTGAGTAATCTCTACATTCAATGTGGGACTCAAACCCTGAGATCAAGAGTCACACGCTCAGAGCACCTGGGTGGCTCACTCAGTTAGGCATCTGACTTCGGCTCAGGTCATGGTCCCAGGGTACTGCGATCCAGTCCTACATTGGACTCCTTTGCTTATCAGGGAGTCTGCTTCTCCCTCTCCCTCTGCCTGCAGCTCCCCCTGCTTGTGCTCTCTCTCTGTTAAGTAATAAACTTTAAAAAAAAAAAAACACAAACCAGTCCTATGCTCTATGAATGAGGCAGCCAGGAGTCCCTGAACCTGGTTCTCTTCATGTCAATTGCCCAGGTCATCCCATCCCCACCCACGGACTCTTGGGAGCCCTGCCGATGGACCCATGTCAGCTTCCTCTCTCTGCTGCTGTGAGTTTCACCCCTATCAGATTGTATCCCGGCATCCCAGGGGCTGAACTGGGGATTTTACCAAAACAGACAATCCACACAGGAACATTCTTGCCTCTTCCCTGGAAGAGGATCTCCCAGACTCTATCCTGGGGCTTTACGGGGAGCTCTGTAAAATACGGGTATATTGTACCCTCTCCAAATGCATTCCCCGTGCACTGGTTCTTCGTTGTCTGTGCCACTCTCAGACCCCGCAGCATCTCCAGCATCCTCCACGGGTGAGCTCTATGGAACTGGTCAGCCCGTGCCCGCTGGGTGAACATTTAAACTCAGAAGGAGACAGCGTCCTCCCACGAGCCAGGGGAATCTGTGGCATGGAGTGTAGAGGACATGGTGACCTGCTTCTGAAGAAGCCACTCTGCAGGCGTGGTTTTCCAGACCCCCAGGGAGGTGACGTCTGGTACCCTGCCCCGGCTTTCTTGGATGAAATCAGCCCTTCTCTATTCTGGGGGCTACAGGCTGGTGTAGAAAGGCTCACGCCTGGTGGAGGGAAGCATCTTACCATAAAACCAGTACACAGCCACGGCCTCTATGAGGACAACAGTGAGCACCGCGGGGCCCGTGGCATACTCCTCCAGCAGCTTCACCACGTAGGCCCCTCCCTGGAAAGGAGACAGCAAACGAGTTAAGGGCCCTCCGACGCACTGCCTCCTCTTCATGGGGAAGGCCGAAAGCTGCTTCTTAACTTTGATCAGTCCCACCTTGGACCTAATATAAATTTCCCAGAGCCTGCCTCTGAGACCAGCCCTCGCAGTGTGGGCCAGACTGCTTGGCACCAGACGTCCCTTCCTGTGCTACGGAGCACTGTCTCCTTGCTTCTTCTCCCACTGAGCTTTAAGAGACAGACTCAGAAGAGTCCCTGGATCTGTTTTCAATGTCCTTCCACTTATGCAGCACCTACTATATACTCTGCCCTAAAGAATCCCAGTCCCTAAAGACTGGACCTGGGCCAGTTCACAATATCAGACATGCTGAGCACATTGGTCCTGGTTTCACCTTCTGTCTTAACTTGCCAATCCCTTGGGTCCTCCTCAGGGTGCCCCCTGCACCCCACCCAACCCTGCTGGGGTCATAGCTTGAAGATGCATGTCTTCAAAATCTGCCTTGAGTCAGGCAGACTGTGGGTGTGATCTTATTCCATTTTAACTGTATTTGCCTCCGCTTCAAAAAAAAAAAAAAAAATCATGGGAAAGGGTCTGACTTCACCACTGCACATTCTCTGGAGGAGACAAAGTGAGATTACAAACAGGAGATGCCAGCCTCCAGATATTCTGGATATCGGGACATCAGGGCAGTAATCCCACGAAAGCAGCCCTCAAGACTGGAAAAGCAAACCTCAGTTCTTCTCCAGACGCGCTGTCAAGCCTGAAATCCAGCTGGGTCGATTGCAAGACGGAAAGCCCTCCAACTACCAAGCACAGAGCAGATTCCACACACAAACACTGCCGGAAACAACCTTCCTCCTGATCCCTGGTGACATTTTCAGAGCGGCATCAACCCTCTTACTTGGGTCCCAAAGCCAGGGCGCCACGGAGGATGGAAGCAAAGGGACAGGTTCTTGCGGGGCTCTGCTGCTCCTGCAGAGGCTACTCAAAGCTGGGGGTTGCGGTACTCACGAAAGTCAGGGTGGCCAGGGAGCCAAAGAAGCACGTAATGACGACACCAAGCACAAACCACTCCCGGCGCTTGGCCCAGATGTGCGGAAACTCGTCGAGCACAGCTGTGATCACCCCCTCCAAGCCTGCAAACTGAGAGGGACATGCCAGCTGTCACAGGGGAGGCTCAAGGCCAGTGTGTTACCTTCGAGGACAGTGAACGGGAAGGCGGGTGGCTGGTCATGATGGGCTCCCCACAGACCCCAGCCCTCGCTGGCAACGTATCACCCCATTTTCACGGTCATAAAGAAGCCTCCCCCACCAAGCACATCAAAGAAAGAAACAGTGCCCAGACAGGACTGCTTTATGTGAGGCCTCCCGGGGAGACTGCGGCTTCGCCAGAAAGACCAACTCAAAGCGGAGAGTCTTCCCACGTTACTAAGTGCCAGGTTCAGAGTCAAATGTGGGGCAGCAGGGCACCGAGACCCAAGAGGGACCTTTAGGGTCCCTCTGGAGCAGGGACAGCACCCAGTAATAGCAGTTCACATACCTGAGCCCTGGCCTGTGCGGACCTCTTACCCTCATTAGCCCTTTAAGGACTCCCTCAGGTCCTAGAGGGCCATGAGCAGCTGCAGGGAGGCCTGAACCAGGGGCTGAGGGAGCACCGGGAGGGAGCAGCCAACACCTCCTGGTGTGGCCGGGATGGGAAGTATACGTGCGCCTTCCTCCCCAACCTGCTCATCTCCTCCAGAAAGCCAGGCTTCCCTCCCTGTTCACTCACGGTGCTGTCCAGGCCCAGGGTGATTAACATCAGGAAGAAGATGATGGCAAAGAAAGTGGATGCTGGCATGTTGGCTATGGCTTCTGCATATGTGATGAAGAGGAGGCTGGGGCCTGAGACACAGCGGGAGAGGAGGAGGTGGTCACCAACACCTGCCCTGCGAAGACGTCTCAGGGAGACGCAGCCACACCAACAATTACACTTCTGTCATGAGAACTTACATGTAAAATAGGCTTTAAAACACTTGCTCACACTCCACACCATCCCACCTGCCCATCCTGACATCACGTGAGGGAAGGTACCGCAGCCATCTTGAAAGGTGTAAACCCTCAGTCAGTTGGAAAGAAACCCAAGACCCTAACACTAGCAAAGCTACATTATGGGAATAAGAGTTTCCACCATATCACAACTCAGAGCTTTTTTTTCTGGGCCAGGACTGATATCCAGAGCATTTAGCTTTCTCTGATGGTATTAGCTAGAAAACAGTAGGAAAGGTGAAACATTCCAGAAGAGTCATAGAGGCCTCGGAATAAAGACCTCCTTCTATTTTTAAAGTCCCTTTTGATAGTGTGACGGACGTGTCCTCCCCTTCTTACGAGCTGGATCAAAGTGCCTGAGTTTGGGGTACAAGGACGATCACAGCTGTGCATCAGGTCAAAGACAGAAGTGTGTTGGCAAGAAAGCCCTGGGATTCCATCCACAAGCTTCCATGCCACTTCTTCAATATCTGTCACTCCTTTTCCACGAAAACCTCACAATACAGTAGCGTGACTACATCATCTATATTTTATTTTTCTCCAAGGGGAAATTCTAAGGATTAATAATCATTTGCTTATTAGACTTGGACTCATTGCCAGACCCAAACCCAATGCTTTTAAAAGCCCTCATCCAGTCATCCAGCTGCCCCATCGCCCACCGCCCCATGGCTGAGCACACAGAAGGCGGTAAGTTTCTCTAAAACCTTGGACAATGTTTAAAGAACATTTAGAAATAGCTCAAAAGTTAGATATCTGTAAGGACCCAAAGAGCAGCCAAGCCATTCAGCCATTCAGCAAGGGACATAAAGAGAACACAGGTTCCCACCTGCATCTTTGGCCACCTCGGACACATCCTCGTTCCGCATCTCGGCCATATACCCAAGCACCGTGAAGATGACAAATCCAGAAACAAAGCTCGTCATGCAGTTCACCACGCTGGTCACCAGGGCGTCTCTGGAGCAGAGAACCCACCGGGACTGAGACACTTTTAAGGACAGAGTCTCAAGAGCACCAGTCTCCACCCGAGGCCCGCAGGGACCTGTCCTGGTGTCCCCTCTTGTCCGCCCCAGCCTGGCCTCTCACACTGGTTGGTAGCTCGAAGCACGGGCTGCCGTTCGCACCATGCATGGCAGGAGGTGAGCCAGGGGCTGGTTATAGTGACGTCCTGTGGTGAATTGGAACCACCCAGACCTCCTGACTTCAAACAAGAATTGCTCTGGGGGAGCCTGGGTGGCTCGTTGGTTAAGTGACCACCTTCGGCTCAGGTCGTGATCCTGGAGTCCCAGAATCGAGTCCCACCTGGTCAGGCTTCCCTGCTCAGCGGGGAGCCTGCTTCTCCTCTGCCCCTCCCCACCTCACATGTCCTCTCTCTCTCAAATAAATAAATAAAATCTTAAAAAAAAAACTGCTTGGAAGCAGGGTCTGGATTGGAGGCAGGGCCATGAGGGAGCCTTGGCCTCACATTCATAAAGTCCCTGGATTTAGACTTTTGACACTATGTGCAAATGAGGTATGAGCCTGTCCCAGGGATATCCTGACACTTTTTTAAAAGAAGACCTCGTCATCCAACTTCAGGCTGGTGTCCCAGTGCAACGCCACATTGCTTAGGGCAGTTGTGGATTCCTTTGGAAGAGAAGGTGAACTCTGTAATCATCTTATGAACAGCACAATTAGATTGCTAGTCACTGCCCTCTGTGAGAGGGCACTCAAAGTTAACTCTAAAGATGACGAGCGATAGTGAAATTGTAATTGGTAAAACACTCCCTGTTTCATCTAAATTTCTGAAATGAGACTTTGCCACAAAAATCATGGTGGCATTTTGCCTTGTTCAAAATAGCTCAATCGTTATACTTTTGTGAATATGTACATAAATAATCACATTACAATTCTTGTTAAACACATTAATAAGTAAAATCGAAATATTTACTATATGTTGCAATTTTAAAAAATCTGCTGTGGAATTTCTTAATTAAAAAAATTGTGTGTGTGTGTGAGAAGCTCTCACAAAATGGAAGTGGCCTGGGGCCCCTCTCAAACCCTGACTGGCCTGGGGAAGGCTATGGACCTGGTGGGTGCTCTGGCCATGGGGGAACTGGTCAGGGACCTGTGGGGTGTCTGGGCCCGACCAAGCCTTAGGCCATTGTTTTGAGCACCTTCTTCTGGGCCAGCTGACAATGCTCACCCCACTTTCAAGCTTTGCCCGGGGAGCCCCAGATACTCACTGGTAACAGTTGTTGTTGAACTTGTTGTAGCTAGCGAAAGCCAACAGGACCCCAAAGCCAGGACCAAGAGAGAAGAAGATCTGAGCAGCAGCATCCACCCACACCTGGCAGCAGAGGTGAGGGTGAGGGCCAAGCCTGGGCCACACTCTGGCCTCCAGCCCTGGCTCCACACAAAGCGGAAAGACCAGTTCTCAGAGCTCCTCCCAGGGGCGACCACATACCATGTGCAAACCAATATGATTTCTATTCCTCACATTGTAGCATAAGCCAATCCACTGCCCTTGACTGTACTTTTCATGCTTGTTCTTCTGATTTAAAACATTATTGCAGATGTGCCACTGAGCCTACATTTCTGTCGTCCCTACTGGAGGGACTAGTTTCCCTTAGTAAAATGACAGGCAGGTACCCCTCGTTTTCCCTGTTATCTTACCCCCGTCTCCAGCAGTTTCTGCCAGTTGGGTTTCAAGTAGAAGAGAACACCCCTCCAGGCTCCAGGGAGGGTGGCCCCCCTTACCAGCAGGACCAAAAGGATGATATAAGGGAAGGTGGCTGTCACCCATACCACCTGTGAGGGAAGGGGGCAGAAACACAGATTGTCAGCTTGTGGGTCTTGGTGGCTTTTATGCTTGAAAACCTCTAGGAAAGGAGATGGACCTCTTCTTTTCTGTAACTATAGGAGGCAGGGTGATGTGGCAGAAATATCAGAGCCTTTGGAATCTGATGGGGATCGGATTCCCAGCTTGCCAATACTCCCACCTCCAGACCCACTTCCCACCTGCAATATGGGAAAACACCCAGCAAAGGACAAGACGGTAGCCAGTGGATATAAAGCACGGATCACGGCCCATCATGGGCTTTCAACAACTTACTGCCACGATTATTCATTGTGACACCATAGGAAGGGGTTAGAGGAATTTTTTTTTTTTTTTTAAATCATACAATGGTTCCTGGGATTGGTCCATTTCTAGAATTCCTGAACAGATTTGGTGAAGAGAAATTGAGCATCATGGATCGTGTTTGGTGTTGAAGGACAACAGTGCCCCTCTCTGTCTATGGCTGTCCAGGCTCCCGAGGGCCCCTTGGCAACCAGAGTCCTCCTCACCTTGCCAGACATTTTGACACCTTTCCAGATGCTGAAGTAGATAACAGCGAAGATGCCCATGATGCAGAGGGTGAGCTGCCAGCTGATGCCCCCCAGGTCCTGAAGTCCCTTAGACCGATGAATCTGCAGGACATGGCGCCTGGAGCCAGTGAGAAAGAGAGGCACGTGAGATGGCCTGCGCAGTGAGCGGCCCAGGCAGCATGCCAGGGGAAGGGACAGACATCGCGGCGCAAGGACCCAGCACTCGCTGAGCCTCAGAGAGTGGTGGCCCTGCCCGTCCTGAGGGACAGAGCAGCAGAACAGCACATCCAGCCCACAGGCCCTGGGAAGAGTACTCAGCACCACCCACCCTCCCCCCAACCGGGGGGACGACTCTCAGCCCCCCACCCCTTTTCTGGCTGGGGCAGCTTTTGGGTTTCTGGGTAGTACGCCCCTTCCCACCCCAAAATCCCGCTCTCGTGGTTGGCAGCTGCCAGAAAGGCCCGCATTGAGGAGTACGACGTACTCCAGGCATCCTCTTCCAAAGGGTAGGTCCCGCTTGTGAAGTGAACACATGAAACCAGAAACTCCTTGAATAGCTGCGGACTACTGCAGCAGGGGGAGGCTTTGATTCCCTGACAAGGTGCCAGGGCCAGAGCGGGGGCCCAGGAAGAGGGCTGGTTTTGACGCGGAGGTGTCATTTTGGAATGTGAACCAAGGGATCGGCCTGGGCACCTGGGGGCAGCCTGGCCTGGCACATTACAGAGGGCGAGGGAGGAACAGCGCAGAAGGCCAGATTAAGGAGCACTCAAGGTCGAGTCTCCCAGCTCCACATCAGCGTGGTGCCGGCCCTGCCGCTCGTTCACTTACACTTACCCCTCTTGCCCTAAGGGCTTCATTTCCGGGACACCAGGAAAGAGAAGAGCCCCTCCCCGCCTCCGCGGAAGCCCCACCCCCGGGGGTGTGGCCTGCCTCTACCAGACCACCCCTCACTTACATGCACTTACGTGTAAAATTCTTCAGCGGGAGACGTAGAGTGCAGCGTCCAGGTGACGTTGTTCCCCGAGAAATAGTTGGTGCAGTTGCCGGTGTTCCAGGAGTTGGTGCAGCTGGTCCAGGGCAGCTGGTCGGTGAAGGAGGAGATGAGGTAGTAGAGTGCCCAGGCCATGATGGTGTTGTAGTAGGAGGCGATGTAGAAGGCGATGATGCAGATGGCATAGCCGATCCCTGGGAGGGGAGTTGGGGGGGGGGGGGCACGTTTACAGGGCAGCCGGACAGTGACAGACTGACAGACCCGGGGGGGCCTTGTAGGGCCCTTGCAGCTCAAGGGAGCAGAGTGGGGGGTTGCTGGGGGCTGCCATCCCCCTCATTCCCCAAGGCTCTGGGAGGTGGTGGACAGGTGGCAATGTGGTAAATTCCTTAGATGTATTTGCAGGATCACACGTTTGAGAAACACACACACGTGTGTGCTGTTACTGCCTTAAACTCTATTTTGGTTGCTTTAAACTCTATTTTGGTTGCTTTAGGTTTTTTAAAAGTTTTTTTAAAATTATTTATTTGAGAGAGAAGGAGAGAGAGAGCACAAGGGGGGGGGGGAAGGGTCAGAGGGAGAAACAGACTCTGCCCGGATGGGGGAGCCCCATGCGGGACCCCAGAATCATGACCTGAGCGGAAGGCAGTCACTAAACTGACTGAACCACCCAGGCATCCCTATTTTGGCTGCTTTTAAAAATACTTTTATTTGAATACAGCTGACACACGTTACATTAGTTTCAGGTGGACAACAGGTGATTTGAGGATATATATGTAACGCTCTACTCACCACAAGTGTGGCTACCATCTGTCTCCACACGACGCTGTGACAGCAGCTGTGACAGCACTATATTCCTGATGTGGTGCCTTTCATCCCCATGACCGATTCATACCACAACGGGAAGCCTGTACCTCACAGTCCCCTTCACCCATTTTGCCCATCCCCCACCTCTTGCCCTCTGGCAACCATTAGTTTATCTTCTATAGTTATAGGACTCTATTAGATCTACTTTTATTTATTTTCTAAAATGCTTATTTTTATCATCACTATTTTTAAGTTGATTTATTTTTTAGTAATCACTACACCCAATGTGGAGCTCAAACTCATGATGCTGAGATTGAGTCACATGCTCTAGTAACCAGGTGCCCCAGGTTTGCTTTTAATTGCCATTTATTTTGTTTCTCTAACAGCCGCATACCACTCGAGCAGTCAAAAACTTAGTACTCAAGTCATCGCCCAGAGATACCTTCAGGCCCAGCTGATTCCGGAAGAAGGTCCCCAACTCCCATACTCTCCCCTGCAGGACCCACCTACCCACCCACTCAAGCCTTTTGGTTACCTTTGAAAATTGGGCAGATTTTCCTCCATATGGAAATGCATCCGTTTCGGTGGTACTGGCCCAGCGCAAGCTCCATGTAGAACAGTGGGATCCCCCCGAAAATGGCCATAATCGTGTAGGGCAGGAGGAAAGCCCCTGAGGCAGATGAAAGACAATTTCACCCCCTGCCCACATCTGCACCAGGACAGCCCAGCTGATCGGGACACCCAGGGTCGCGCTGAGATTCATGGGGCACTAAGATGCTCAAGTCTCATGAAGCCACTCTGTGCTGCGTGACCTCACACTGTGGTCTCCTGGCCTTAGCACCTTCCCAGAGCTCCATGGTCAAATGGGGCTTTCAGAGAGTTAATGAAGGCAGCCGAGAGTACATGGAAAGAAAGCTGGGTTCAGGATCAACAGACCGGGCCCTGGAATGGGTTGCACATCAACCCACCCTGAGGACCGGGGTCACTGCCCCTCCTGGAACATGTTTCCTCCCCTATGAAATGACAGTGGCGGAGGGCTGAGCTTCCCAGCTTCCGGAAGCCAGCCACACACGGAATCACTGGTGAGCTTAAGGACACAGATCCACCCACACCCCCGACGCCGAAGTTCCAGGTGTGGGTGTCACAACAAAAATGTGCGACCCGCCCAGGTGATTCTGATGCAACCAGAGCTCAGGACCCTTGAGACAGAGCACCTGTACAACCTGCGCCAGGGCTCCAATAATCGGCAAGTTCCTGAATTCCTATCTGTGGCCATCCTATCGTTCCTGGCTCCAGACCCTTGTTACTGATAGGACTCTATTCCCGTAACTCCACTAAGCCAGAACGCTCCCTTCGCAGCAGCCTTGGCAGGTGTGGCTGAGAAGGGTAGTTTGTCACAAAAGGAGGACGCCTGGAGCTGCTGCATCACCGGGGATGCTGGCATCCCCAGCTCTTGTAGTGACACAGAATTTGGGAACACCGAGGTGGGGATTGCTCACCTGTCGCCTGAGTCTCAGCCCAAAGGGTGGGTCAGCTGTGATTTTCCCCCCTGACTCTCCCTCCCAGAAATTGCTTTGAACCTAGAAACTGGAAGTTGGGGCAACTTGGAAAGGTCCCATCTCACTTACAACTGCTCTGGGTACATCTGGCTTGGGAATAAGAACCACATTGTGTTCTCATGGTGGCATTTGCCCAACGGGGCTTGACTGGCTGAGTGGTGGGGAATGAGTGTGGGACAAACGTCCCCAGCGCCTTATAGAAGGTGAGTCCTCTCCAGCTGGAGATAACTTCCCTCCTCCTGGGCAGGGAGGGCTGGGCTTCCCGCATCCCCGCCCCCCCAGCCCCCAGCTGCCTTTACAGCCACATGGATCTAGTTTCTTTAAAAATGAGGCAAACCTAGGCAACTCCACGTCAGGCCATGGAGGAAATGAGGACACTAACTTCATTTCATCTCCCCAAACTTCATTTCAGCCACCCTCCCAAATCAGCTACCAGAGCTTCTGTCAAAATAAATAACGACTGATTTGACTTCCATTTCTCGTCCTTGTCCCATTTTTGATAGCCAGTCCAGCGTCAACACAGAGGCACCGTACATTATTCACTCCTCTCCACTCTACTCTCTGCAGCTCCCACAGCCCTGCCTATAGTCTGCTACTCTTTTTGATAATCTACCAGTTAACTGCTCTGAAGTGTTGGGGGTGGAAGGTGGAAAAGGAGATACTCTCTAGCCTCAAAAATCTAACAGTCTTGGAGGAGACAGAAGGCAGATCCAGTGTCTGGTTTGGGGTTATTATTAAGGCCATGCTGTGGCTGGGTTCAACTCTGGGTCATGCTTAGATTCCAACTCAAGACTCCGGACCTGAGCAGAAGCCCTTCTCTGACCACACACAGGTCCAAAGGTCCCGGAGGGCCTGGGACCCTGGAGCCACTTCCCAGTTTCTCCTCAGACAGATCTAGCCTCTCTGGCCTCTGCCGAGCAGAGCCCACACAGGGCTGATGGCCATTCTCACATCCCGCTGTGAGCGTGCAGTTGGGACCTACGGGGATGGGAAGGGAAGGGGGCCCTTCCACACATGAAGCACAAGCACGCAGAGAATCTGGCAAGGTCAGGTTTGGGAGAGCTTTTATCTGACTTCCTAACCCAGGGAGCCTCAGACATGCTGACTGAACATTGGGCTTACTGGGAACCCATCTTTTGGACCAGCTTGAAAGTCCAAGCAGTCATGTTCTGAGACTCATCAGTTTAGACAAGACAGAAAAGACATGATCTCTGCTGTGGCCTCCTGAGAGGACCTTAAAGACCATCGCCGGCTCCGAGCCTCTGTGGCCCAAGATACTGACCCCCTCCGTTCTGGTAGCAGATGTAGGGAAAGCGCCAGACGTTGCCCAAGTCCACCGCATAGCCAATGACCGAGAGGAGGAAATCCATCTTCTTGCCCCAGGTCTCCCGCTCCCCTTGGTGAGCCTCGGCGACTAGGGCAGTGGTGGCAGCTGGAAGGGCGTGCTGAGTGTCGTCTCCGGCACCAGGGCTCGGCACTGCTGAGTACCCATTGGAGATGTGGCCAGACTCCACCTTATCCTCAGGGACGGGGACCCCCTTCTGCAGAACTCCATTTTCCTGACAATCGTCTGTATCCTTACTCGCGGGCAGCTCCTTCTGGGAATTTAAGGGCGTGGTCTCCATCCTGCTGGCTAGGGGATTATAATGACACCCATCTGCGGAAGTCCCCAGCTGAATTCAGGGCTCAGATCCTGGGATCTCCTCCGAGCTTTGTTATCAGCGGGATTGAGAGCTCTGTTGGAAAGGCACACAGTGAAGGGAGAACAGAATTACGCATTCTCCTTGTCTTTGGTATTAACTCAACAAACATGGTAAACTCTGTTAATTAATGGGATTACAAAAGCATCTGTCAAGCGTAAAACATCCTGTTTGCTATAGGGCAGTCAATAAAATCAACCCAGTTTTCAACCTAGACAGTCAAATCACAGTCAAGTCATTTGAAAAGGAAAAAAACCTGAAACAATAAAACAAACAGGAATGGACAGCAAATCACCCAGGTCTCGCATCAGCTTTAAGAACAAGGGACTAACTTCAGTTTGAGGGACCAGCGCCGCATCCTGGAGCTCACCAGTCACCCAGAAGAAGGTAGACAGAGAGCTTGCTTCACCAATGCTCTGCAGAGCACTTACCTTGTCCTGGATGCTGTGCAGGGAAAAGAAACCCAAAGAAAGGAGCTGTTGCTGCCTGCCAATAAATTAGGACGGTCCTAAGCCCTTTACGCCGAGCATGCCGTGTATTTTACATAAATTATAGGTATGGCTTTAAAAGGACGAGAGTAAAGGCACCCTTAGCTCCTCAGCTGACTTTTCCCCTCTTCCCGGGGTCCAGCCCTTAGAGATTCTAGCTGCTTCTGGGTGTGTCCCGTCCGTCTGTGGTTTGCAGAGCTGCCTTCGCCTCGTGCCTCTGCGGGTCTGCCCAGGCTTTGAAGGGCCCTGCTGCTCACCGTGGGTTCTGCCAGCCTCTCCCAGCGGTCCTGAGCCAGATGCACCTGTTATTCGGCAACAGTGGGCAGGCGGGGAGAGCCGGAAGAGCCAAGGAGAGGAGCGTGAGGGTTACAGATGCCAGCATGGCCGGTGTCTCTGAGCCCACACAGCCTGGTGGCGAGGGCTGGCCGGGACCTCGGCACCTCCACAGCCCTGCCGGGGCCTTGGTGCGGGGAAATCAGAGCAATCGGGACCCAGGCCTCGTACATCAAATGTGGAGCAGAAATTCGAGCCCTTTTGGACTTTAAACCTATGGCCTGTTGTAAAGTCATCAGGAGCCAAGACCTGCCAGCTCACTTCATTTCATCTGGGCCTGAACTCTTCAAGCTCTTGAAATAATCTGGGAGTTGAAACAGGTTTCTGTTTAGCTCAGGTCACATTCTACCTTTTGAGATGTCCAGGGTGAGCTATTGCTGTTCACAGCTGCAAAAATCTGCTATTACCCCTTCAAATCTGACAGCTGGAGGACGGCTAGAAATGGATGGCTAATAAAAAATGGCCGTGTCTGTCTCCTACCTCTCTGGGGCTTTCAGTGACCAGAACTGAACTGTCCACACGTGGAAATGTGAAGATAAAAATGTAGCAAAGAATGAGAGCAGAGGAATGGATTCACACCGATGACTGCGTACATAAATATTGGCAAGGGCGAGAAACGACTGAGAAATGACTTAGAGCTCTGTGTTCACTGGGTTCCTTTCTCTGTAAAGCAGAAAATAAAATTTAAAAGGGCTTGATTGTTGCCAGAAAGATTACAGCAACAATAGAGAGACCAGCCAGCTCCATGGCTCTAGGGGACAGGGTGGGTGTCCCGTGTTCTACCCTTTCTACACACTTGGCCCCCACCCCCTGACCCCACCCTGGGCTCAAGGTTGCTCACAAACGAACATGAATTTTGATAAGGAGTGATCTAGATAAAACCCCATTGTGCCCATCTTTATGCTGCTCTCAGCCTCTCCCTGTCCCCTTCCGTGGACCCCTCGGGTTAACCACCCATTGTCTCATCCACCATAAGCCGCCACGTACCAGGCCGAGGGATTTTTTTAAAGTTCATTATTTTTTCGAGAGATGATGAGGTGTCAGAGTATTTAAACTCAGAGCTAAATTAAACCTGCCCTTTGTGGTCTCTGGTTGTGTTGTCTGAAGCAGGCCTCCACACTTCCCTTCGGCCTCAATCATCGGCCTGTTGTCTGCATTGAACACTGAAGAACTTGAAGGTCAGATGACAGAGATAAAGGGCTTTACCATGTGCAACCCCATGGCACCCAATGGGCAGAGCCAGCCTTGACCAAGCTCCTCCTCCCCCACCTTTCTTTCTCCACCTTCGAATTTTTACCCCGAGCTTTTGCAGGAACTTCTCCCTATCTGGAATACCTCATTGCTGCTTGCATTGAAACTGCCGCTCAGGGGACCTGCCCCCCCCAGCTGGCTCAGTGCCTGGAGCATGTGACTCTTGATCTCGGGGTCGTGAGTTCGAGTCTCAGGTTGGGTGTAGAGATGACTTAAAAAACTAAACAAAAAAACTGCAGCTCAAGGAGCAGCTATACCATCTAGTCATTCTCTGGCACATCCCCCATGGTCTATGGGAGAGACACGTCACCCATCTCCGAAGAGTATCGTGGTCGGGGGAGCAAACCCTTAGCCATGCTAGTGACTCTGTGAACTTCCTCAGGCCTGGGTCAAGTTCTAGGTTTCCTGTACACTCTCTCCTGGGGAAGCTTGCAGGGAGGCTGGACAATGCGCGTGTGTTGCTGAACTTTTCCGAGCAATGTATGTTCTTCAGTATCTTCAGGGGTCCGTCCCCTAAAGCAAATGATCTCGATTTCTTGGCACCTGCCCGGACCAGCTCCTAGAAGAATAGTATGTGCTTCTCTATTTTTGTTGTGAGCATTACAAAGACCTTGTTTCCTGATATATCCCCCAGCACTTTTTTTTTTTTTTAATTACATCAAAAGGCTGAAATGGCCCAAGTCCTAAGAAAGCAGGTTAAGAGGGATCCTGGGCTGACTCATGACTTTAAGCCAGTCACTCTCCAGGCAGCTCCGCTCTCTGGCACTCCTGATCACAGACCCTGGGGCACAAACATAAGTTACAGCCACCCAAAGCCACCAAACGGGCAGGAGATACACATCTCCTTTTTTAATCTGCTTCTCCCAACTGGAAAAAAGCTCCTCCCGGAGACTCATCCAGACAGCCAGGAGACCATGGCCTGGCCCAGATCCCCTTCTGCCCGAGGCTCTCATGCTCCTTTCCTACTTTTCTGATTCTATAGAACACTGGCCACCTTTTCCTACTGAGTCCAGCAGATCACCGTTGAGAGCAGGCTGCCCTGGGAATATAGAAGTAAGAGTTAAGAAAATTGGCTTCTAAGAATGTTCTCTTCAAAGTTTTCTTTTTTAAAAGATATTTTTATCCTGCTGGGTAGATAGAGGTTGCAAACGAGGTCACTGTTACAGCTGTGACCTCCTCCAGGCAGCCTTTGAGTTTCTCCGTGGCCAGAGAAAGCCCCAGAAGCCTTCCTTTGCACCTCGAATGTGGGCTCCTGCACCAGGCAGACCAAGTGACAGGCTGGGGTGGCATGACGGCATGCTGCTCCTGGGTGGGATGACAGCCTGACACGTGGGACCCTCATCCCCAAATCTCCGCACACAAGCAGCACGGTGATGCCTCTGGCAGGCTGACAGTCTGCTTTCTGTCCACACTCCTGCTTCCTCTCAGCCCAGGGGGTGGCCTAAAACACCCCACTTCCCCCCCACACACACATATACCCTTCAGGAGAAAGGATTGTTTCTATTTAAACTTCTGGTCAAATCTCCATTCCCCTTCCTACAAACCCTGCTTTTGTAGCCAGGGGAACCAGCATCAGAACAAGCACGTAATTACAGCAATTAGTCATGAAACCACCCAGACCTTTGGAAATGGCCATGACCTGACTTGTCCGTTGGACATCCGTCAGCACATTCTAAGCAGAAACACTGGAGAAAGTTTGTACTTTGACTTCACTTGTTGAGATCAAAGTGAGTTCATGTCTTGGGACACTTGGTTTCCATTTTCAAAAACCAAACCAGACCCAGAACAGATGATGGGCGTACCACAAGAACAGAGTAATTATAGGTCAGACGGCCAAGTGGAAATCTGCCTTCTCTCTTCAGAGAGGGCATCTGATGTTCCCAACACACCTCCCTGAGGACCAGAGCAATGACAAAGCTCTGGTGCCCATTGCTGGGGAGCCCCTGGTCTTGGCAACACTAATTCTGCAAAGGCACACTGTATGCCTACTACATGCCAGGCAGGCTCTCAGAGGCAAAGCAGGTGCAGTCCTGCCTGCATGGAGTTCATGGAACAAGGCTAAGCTCTGACTGTGGGAAAACAGTACTTGTGCAGAAGGACGGAGAGGCAGGGGTGCTCGAAATCCCTGTCGTGCCTCCCTTTGGAAACGGAGCTTCCTGCGGACTGATGCAGCGTGTTGAGGTAGCTCACATTTCGAGCCCCAAGATGCCTTCAGAGTCTACAAGTCATCCCTTTTTCCCTATTGTGCAGTTTCTGTCACAGGAGGCCCGGATGTGGGTGGGTTCTGACTCACAGTCGCCCAAAGCATAAACGCCCAGGAGCCCAAAGGGACTCCTGGCTCACCTTTCAAACAAAACAGACTTCACCATGTGAACGGGGAGCGCAGGGAAAACCCGGCTGTTTTTGGACCAAAAGGGCTAGAAATGAACACTGCTTACCCAACCAAAGAATTCTTTGTATGAGACCGACAGTTCAATTTTTTTGGAGTGGGATTAAATAGTCTCTAATCCTGAGGGCCGTTTGGGCCAATCATCACGAGAAAGGACAAGGGTCTCCTGTCCAGAACTTGCCCTGCCTGGGGGAGGGGGGAGCTTCGACCGTCTCTGCACACAGAGTGCTGAGTAGAGAGGATGAGCCCCCGGTGGTGTGGTCGACATCGCTCCAGAGGCCGCACGAACATGCTGTGGGTTGTTTACATTGTCAGTGTCTAGCATGGGGACAACGTCAATAAATGACAGGGCGTTGACAGCCACTGGGCCACCACACGTATGCCATCCCTCCTGCCCTCCGGCTTCACACCCCGGTCAGGCGGACCGGGATCCAGAGGTGAAGTGACTGCACCCCATCCCACGAGCCCTCCCTGTGATCGTTCCTCCCAATTAGCTCCTCTTCATGGGGTCACTGGGAAAGCTGTAAACAGCAGAGTCCTGGGCTGCCGTCCCAGAGATTATAATTCAAGAGATC